GTCACTTACTTACACTCGCGGCTATCACCATTTCGCTTGCCCTTTCGTTTGCGCGCCGCGAGATAAATCTAAACAAGTAGCGGACCGAAACAAAAACGAGAGTTGTTTGACTTTTAGAAGCCGTTGAGACTAAACCGGTTCGCAGTCGTTTTCCCTGTTAGCCGGAGACTCGAAACAAGTGCGAACGGCCATAAATGCTAAGAGCTGTCGATTAGCTGTAATTATGCGCATAATTAGAGAATAACAAGATAACAGCTGCCAAATAAATAAAACAAAAGCTACAAAAAATGCATAAATTTACCAAAAAAAAAAAGTTTTAGACACAGTTTAACGCAAAATTAATATAATGGAATCAATTAAACTAGAAATTCAGAGAATTCAAATCAATTGGCTTTAGTTGCAAGTAAATTAAAATAAATTTTTAATAATTTAAAAAATAATAAAACAAAAAATTAAAATTATTTGATTAAATAATTATTGTAAAATTTAAAAATAAAATATAAAAAATTTTAATAAAAAATAAATACTACAATTAAAAAATAATTTTTGAAAAGTCGAAATACAACAAAAATTAAATTAATATATATTAAAAGTTCCAGAAAATTTGTTCACGCGAAGTGTTAATATATTTGAATTATTTTATATTAATTTTTTTAAATTATGTATATAGCAAAAAAATTTTTAATAATAATACTATTATTATAAAATACTCTCTAAAATATTTATCTTCAAAAAAATTCACTCAAAATAATATTTCTTTAAAAAAATATACCTTTTATCATCCAATTGAACATTTAATTTATATATTTGTTTATGGTTTCACTTTTAGCACAAGACGATAATATAGACGTTGAAAGGGAATGTACCGATCGACCCGCTGATGAGTACTTCCGTCTGTCCACGGACGGCGATTGCCGTGAAGTGTACAGGTAAGCACTTTGGCTAGGTTTCTCAGAACGAAACATGTTGTTAAACAGCAAATCACGTTGAATGATAGTACTTTGTTTGGGGATATTGTTTTGTTTAAAAATCAACATAGATTTTTATTTTAAATTTTAAAATATATATAATAAAGATATATATATGTACGTAAAAATAAATAAAGGTGCGATAATGGCCGCGAAGATGGCAGCAAACGCTTGGCACCAATCCGCTGTGCCTCCAGCTTGTCGTTCGATGTGGAGCGTCAACTCTGCGATTGGAGGTCGAATGTTAAAAATTGCGATGTCAAAGAAAGTAAGTGGGGTGTGTCCGCGCCAGCCGTTGAGCCCAGTGCCCAAAAGTATACTTCAAAGAGCTCGCCTCTGTGCCACCCAAAAAACTCTCTCCTACACACTCTCTAACACTCTGTTCTGTCTCTATGTACCTCTGTCTCTCTATCTATCTGTGTGTGTGTGTGTGTTGCACAGCTCATTTTGTGTGTGTCCCTGTAACTAAATGAACGCCAAAGCCCAAACAATCGTTGTCATTGCATTCGCTCAAACCCCAAGCCAAGCCCCACTCAAAAATAAATAAATACAAAAAGAAAAAGAAAAAAAAAAGAAACATTGCCAAAGTTCTGTTAGCCAGCTTAATGCAAATCAGTCAAGAACCGCGTGCATCGCGAATCTAGAAGAGAGCCTTGTCAAAACCAAAACCCAACTTTATTTTCTAGATGCACTAAGTCGGGCCTAAAAGAAATTCAGTGCCCCTCCGGCTTGGCCTTTGATTTGTATAAGCAGACCTGCGACTGGAAGGCCAAGGTGACTAACTGCGATGAGAAAGAGAGTAAGTCTACTGACACACAGCCAAACAACACAAATGTATTCAGCACTTGGACAGCAACATAATCAAAATATATACATATATGTATACACACTTGTTGTCTATGCATATATGTGTATATATATGTAGATATAGTGAACTTTGGAACAACAATAATAACCACACACCTAACCTCCCTAACACAGTCACGTACATACTTCTCACTTCAAAATTTAGACAACTTTTGTCACTAACACACCCAAACGCCCTCACTAGAGATTGACGCCCTATGCCAAGGCCTATTTTTAATATTCCTACTTCATCAACTTGTTTAGAGCCCCGCAAGGCGAAGCCCATTCTGAAGACAGATGAGCCCATCTGCCCCGATGGCAAGCTGTCCTGCGGCGATGGCGAGTGCCTCGACAAGGAGCTCTTCTGCAACGGCAAGCCCGACTGCAAGGACGAGTCCGATGAGAACGCTTGCTGTAAGTGTCCAAGAGTCCATGCCCAATCCCTTTGGCATTCTCATTTTATGACCTTCTCTCTTCACAGCTGTCGATGAGGATCCCAATCGTGCGCCCGAGTGCGATCCCACACAGTGCGCTCTGCCCGATTGCTTCTGCTCGGCCGATGGCACACGTATTCCCGGCGGCATTGAGCCCCCGCAGGTGCCACAGATGATCACCATCACGTTCAACGGCGCCGTCAATGTGGACAACATTGACTTGTACGAGGACATATTCAACGGCCAGCGCCTGAATCCCAACGGCTGCTCCATCAAGGGCACCTTCTTCATCTCGCACAAGTACACCAACTACTCGGCCGTCCAGGACTTGCATCGTCGCGGTCACGAGATCTCAGTCTTCTCACTAACGCACAAGGATGACCCCAACTACTGGACAAGCGGCACCTACGACGACTGGCTGGCCGAGATGGCGGGCGCTCGTTTGATTGTGGAACGCTTTGCCAACATTACCGATGGCTCCATCATTGGCATGCGTGCTCCCTACCTGCGCGTGGGCGGCAACAAGCAGTTCGAGATGATGGCCGATCAGTTCTTTGTGTACGATGCCTCGATTACCGCTTCGCTGGGTCGCGTGCCCATCTGGCCATATACCCTGTATTTCCGCATGCCACACAAGTGCAACGGCAATGCCCACAACTGCCCATCGCGTAGCCATCCCGTGTGGGAGATGGTCATGAATGAGCTGGATCGTCGCGATGATCCCACATTCGACGAATCGCTGCCCGGTTGCCACATGGTTGACTCCTGCTCGAACATCGCCTCGGGCGAGCAGTTCGCGCGTCTGCTGCGCCACAATTTCAATCGCCACTACAACAGCAACCGTGCCCCACTCGGCCTGCACTTCCACGCCTCGTGGCTGAAGTCCAAGAAGGAGTATCGCGATGAGCTGATCAAGTTCATCGAGGAGATGCTGGCACGCAGCGATGTGTTCTTTGTGACCAATCTGCAGGTCATCCAATGGATGCAGAATCCCACAGAGCTCAACGCGCTGCGCGACTTCCAGGAATGGAAGGAGAAATGCGACGTCAAGGGCCAGCCCTACTGCTCCCTGCCCAACGCCTGCCCGCTGACCACCCGCGAGCTGCCCGGCGAGACTCTGCGCCTCTTCACGTGCATGGAGTGCCCCAACAACTATCCCTGGATCCTCGATCCCACTGGCGATGGCTTCTCTGTTTAATTTCAAGCCAGAGCTTCTCTCACTTTCTAATTTCCTTCCCAAAAAAACAAAAACAAAAAAAAAAAACCAACAAGAGAACAACGCATTAGTAGTTCAACCGAGAGTCTGATAAACTAAACACAAAAACCTACAACACAAGCAATAAATTTATCTATCTATCTTCTGTCTCCCGCTGGCCACCATTTTGGCCAGAACCTCAACTCTCTATCTGCCCTTATCTAACTGAATCTGTTATTTATGCAAATCATCTTTCACTTTATTGCTTCTATATTCTTGTGTATTTCTTTTTGACTTTCCGACTTTTCGACTTTTCTCCCAACTTTCTACTTTCATTGCTCAACTTTTTGTCTCATTTCTCTATTAATTATGTTGAATGATAAAGTGAAATGGTTTTAATCAACTGAAAAACCTAAAACGTGAACAACGCCAGCAAACGCTGCTACTTTGTTATATTAGAATGAAAAACAAAAACAATTTTCACAAAAAAACCGCGCCAAAAACTCGCAGCAGCTGAATTCTTTGTAATTATATAAGTATTTTTTATAAGAAAAATATAAAAAATATATTAAAAAAAAGAAAAACATAAATAATTGCTTGTAGTTTTCATTTAATTTTACAAATAAGTTAAGCGAGAAAACTTTACTGAGATTGTTGTAAGCCAAAGAACTTTTCTCTCTCTCTTTCTTTATCTATATATATTCCGTTCATATCGTATTGAAAATTGGAATATAGAATTTATATGCCTTCGTTAAAATGCATTTAGCAGGCGGAAGTATGCCTTATAAGGATTAAAATTCTCGATGTTAATCATAACTTTTCGATTTTTTTAGAGTTAGAGTCGCCAAATTTTCGATTAGATTTATTTAGTATTTATGCAATTTGAATTTTTGTTCTTTTCTACCAAAGAAAACACAGATCGATTGCATTGGCTTCACAGAACCTTCTAGTCAGACACTTCCGGTTAGACTTCTCTCATTTATATATAGATTAAATTGTTTATTAAGAGTAGATTGTGGATTAATCAACATAGCTTAGCAAAAAGCATTTCTAGTCAAATCTACATGTTTTAGACATACTAAAGATATACAGAAGCATGTTTTTCAAACACACGTGTCAGAAATAGATGTCTCTTACACTTAGGAAATTCCAATTTTTACACTGAATATAAAATATACACAGGAACACGTTTTACATTTATTTAGGTATCATTACGACAGAACAAAGTTCCAAAGATGAACAGGCGAAATTTATATGGTTTCTTATTGATAAGCTTATTGGTAAGTCTGGTAGTTTTTTATAGATTTCTATTAAATTTACGTATGCCTATATGTTGTCAAGATATTCAATATACCTGAACTGGTTTCTCAACTGATGTCAGCTGCCACAGATGGCTCTACTATAAATAGCGGCGTCCATCACCTCTTTAAAAATAAAGCACATTTCTTCTTTACGAGTCCCCGCCCCCAATCAAATAGCACTACATCAACTGGAAAAGTTACCCAGCCAGAAACAACAACAGTCTCTACAACAGGGAAAACCGAGGAATCCATTATAATGCGTAAGCTAGCCAAGGATCATCGTGATCATTGGGCGAATAATCCCCGGCCTGTTACGTTCGGTAATCGACTGCTGGACACCAGATTCACCCAGAGCCAGCCCTATGTCCACATCAATGTGGTCTCAAATCCAAAACACCTCTATGATCCCCAAGGCAAACTGAGCACAGTTTGCATGGGTTCCACCATTCCGCATGGAAATTACAAGGTGGTGCGATGGACAGATCGACATATCTATAGGCACAAGCAAACGAGTCAAGCTTTCTACTTGAAGCTGCGGCGAGACATGTACATCAAGGGCGACTCAGAGATGTGCCACAACAAGAAGTATAACAAGTGGATGGACTATCAGGAATGTGCATTGAAGCGTAATCAGCGCCTAGAAGCGTTTATACCGAAATATCCCTTCCAGCAGCTGATCAAGGAAAAGAGTTAAGAGGCAGAATGGAGGATAGACGGAAAATTGTATTTATTAGAATTATACTACTTGATTATTAAACTATATTAAAATGCTTAATTCAGAATCAGGTTCCAGTGTAATTAAATCGTTATACATAGATGCAGTAGCAGAATATCGTGGATTGATTGACTCTGAACTGAACTGAGCTGAACTGACTTAGTAAGATGCGTAGGCTCATTGAAGGATTGATTGACTGACTGATAGAACTTTTTGCTTTTTATATGCATCAATTACCAACATAATAATTAAAAATCAATAGCTTTGGTAATTATTTTTTCATGCACTTTATTCTCGATATTATGCGGATATTAAGCCGTGTAAGAGTCTACAAAGCTAGTTGTTGTTTTGGTCTCTGATAATAATAATGCTAATAAACTATGCATATTGAACCAAGTGTGGAGCAAAATGAATCGTACTGCAATTAGAGCCACAGACGCACTTGTTGATCCCAGCTGGTCGAGGCTAGGCACATGCCATTGGGGCACAGGCTGATGCAAGTTATTCGATTCTCATGCCCAGACAGTGTACCTGAAGAGAGAGAGAGAGAGGGAGAGTGAGAGAGGCGACAATGAACAAAAATCAATACAAGTTGAAAGAGAATTGAAGCCATCGACGTTCTGCCACCTACCCGTGTGCCGCTGCTTCATGGCATCCCACGAGTGAACGTTGCCCTCAATGCCGGCGCACAATATGTAGCGACCGCTGGTCGATAAAGCTAATGGGCACAAAATCAGATTAAAAATTGTCTAAAGTCAAGGCGAAACCAGAGAAGAGTGAGCAAAGCAGAATGTAAATACGCACCGCACGACGTGAAGCCCGTGTTCTTCTGGGGCGGCTCATAGAGTCCGATTTGTTGGTCGGCACGCAAATCGTACATGCGCGCTGTTTGATCCTCCGAGCAGGAGGCGAAGCCAAAGCCACTTGGATGATACTGAAATGAAGTCCAGGTATCGAGCAGAAATACCAAATAAATGTCAACTGATTCAAACTTACGCAAACGGACGACACATCCATCTCGTGTCCAAAGAACATTTGCTTGTGTCCCTGTTCGCGAACATCCCACAGCTTGGCAGTTTTGTCCACTGAACCGGTTATGTACGTTTTCATATCGGGCGACAATGAGAGGCCAGCAATGTCGCCAGCATGTCCATTAAAGTCCATTGTCTTGACACCCTTCTCCAAGTCCCAGTGACAGCTGTTATCATATATATAATTACGTTAATTACAAATTACATATCCATTGATATCATCTCAACTTACATTTTCATATCACCCGATCCCGTGATCAAGTGTCCATCATCCAGAAAACGACATGAGCTCAGGAAGCCCTCGTAGCCAATTAGCTCTCTAACCATTTTGGCCACTCCGGATGCATCTCGATTGTTTACATCGTAGACGGTGCATTGATTGTCCATGCCACCGCAGGCCACAAAGTTGCCCGATGGTGAAAATGCCACAGTCATTACCCAGGCAGAGCGCAAAGGTATAATCTGTACCTTGTTGGCTGTCCAAGTGTCCCAAATGATCAACTTGCCATCCAAAGAGCCAGTGACGCAATGGCGAGAATCGCCAGCAAAATGCACCGAGTTGACCTTGTTAATGTGACCTTTTAAAATCTTTTTCGATGAAAAACGTATTTTGGGCACATCGCTCATGTCACCGCATTTGTCCGCCAATGTGCAATCCGCCTTCGACTTTTGGTCATCCTGTTGTCATTCAAAATATCGATTAATTAATTTACATACTTTTTCCATTTAGAAAGATTCACCTTAAACTTTTGTATCATGCCATTGATCTCGTCGTAAAGTTTTTGGGTTTCTGGATCAATCTTCGGCATGATTGTGCATTAAATAACTGCGACAGAAAAAAATATTTCAAATATCCGTTACAATGCAGTCGACCAACCAAGCACGCGCCACGATGTAAACTAAAATCGAAATAAATATTTAACTTACACTGTTATGATGATTTCATTGCATTGCATTGCTTGAGACGGTAATGCAATTAACTAATTGGATTAGTTCGTTAGGCGAAAACAAATACAAATTTTGAGGAAATATCCAAAAGTTGCGCGCGTATTGCAAACACACACTCGCGCATGCCCATTGAGCAGTGCTGCCAATTGTTGAGAACTTAGCATCTGGCAGAGCTGTAACAAAATTGTTAACAGCAGTGCTCCTCACTCCTCAATCGTAATGTTGGCTGCAGTCCAAATCAGTTATGTTGATTTAAAAATATAATATTGTTTGTTTTTAATAAAAATTTAATAAAATTAAGTACATATTATTTACCTTGCATCATAGCGCTTAACATTTTTCAAATTTTGCTATTAATATTTTTGCATTCGATTAATATCGATAGAAAATCGACATCAACACACAGATGTTAAGCGTGCCATTAAACAGCTGTTTAGTCACAAAAAGATCTTGGGACCACAAGAATTAGCTTATATTTTTAATAAATAACGCAACACCCGCCAGCCGCCAAAAATGGAACAGAGGCATAGGTACTAAGACTTACGCGCATTATGGAATCACTGCAATGTGCCAGCGAAGTGGCACATATGGCGGAACAGCAACAAACTGAGTCGCTGGTAAACATAAAACGCATTTCGGTGCCCTTTGGAAGTCAAGGTTTGATGGGCACGGATATGGCCAAAGCCGAGGATGTGACTCAATTGCTGAAACAAAAACCGCAGCACACGGGAACTCTTGGTAGCGTTTCCACCCAGGCACAGCTTGCAAGTCTCAGCAGCATCGACAGTCTCTGCGAGAGTGTGGTTGATATACCCAAGGAAGTGATTCTCATCTCTATGGTATCCCAAGAGCAGGCGCTGTACAATCCCAAGAATCCGCTCTATCGCAACACAAAAAGCAAGGATGAGAAATGGAGTGAAATTGCGAATCACGTGGGCTGGACAGGTAACTCACTTTTAACCAAGTAGAAATCAAGCTAATTAAATCTATGAATAGATGCGCAATGCAAGGCCAAGTGGAAGGCAATGAGAGATCAATATTGCCGTGAGCTAAAACGCGCCAAAGCTAATACCAAAGGCACCGTCAAGTGGAAGTACTTTAAGGAACTCGACTTTCTGCGTCCCTATGCGCTGGCACGCAAGTAAGATGAGTGAATTTCTGTTTTATTTATATATGTTGTCTATAGCTATCTATATATACATTCTAGCTATCGCTCTCGTGGCTCCCAGAATGCCAATGGTATTTTGACGACTATGACGCTGCCGAATATTTCCACAACAACAACAATCACGAGCAGCAGCAGCAACAACAACAATGCCAACAACAATTCGTTTAGCAATAGCAGCAGCAGCAGTCAAAATCTGACTATGTCTGCTGAGCCGACCAAATTTGCCAACATCAAAATCGAGGATAGAAGTGGCTCGCTCTTGGAGACTTGTAGTTTTGTGCCAGCAACAACAACAACGGCAACAACAGGAGCTTCGAACGCAGTAACGCTTGATAAGAAGACGGATACAACGCGTAGTCTAAGCGCATTTATAGCCAGACATATTCTACAGCACCAACAGCAGCAGCAGCAGCCGCAGTCACAGTCACAGCAGCAGCAGCAGCCGCAGTCATAGCAGCAGGATACCAATTGGAACTATTTGACCGATGCAAGTGGCAATGACGTTGGCTCAGCCACATCTATTACGGTTACCTGCGAGACACCGAATCCGTCGGCTAGCGATACGCTGTACAATGATTTTGTGGACTGTGTGAATGTTGGCGGCGTTGTGAATCAAACCTCTACGCACAATGCAGATGAGGAGGACGATGATCCCATACACACATTTCTTAATATCGAGAGCTACTTTGAGAAGGAACTAATCATGCTGATACAGCAGGAGGATATGATCTACAATTATAGCAATCAAAACTATCGCAATGTCAAGCTAAAGCTGGAAGTCTGGGATGAAATAGCACGCAAGCTTAAAAAACCAGGTTAGGCAAAACAAATTTATATAATTTGTATTATAGTTCATATCTAATTTCAGTCAAGCAATGTCGAGGGAAGTGGAAGGCTTTGCGGGACCAATATGCGCGGGAATACAAGCGTCTGAAAACACAGGTGAATGGTTACGTCACATCGCGATGGAAACACTATGATTCCCTAAGTTTTCTGCAGAAATATATACAGCAAAAGTCACTGTAAGTAATTCCATATAATTAGAGACAGAAGCCACTATGGATAATGTTTTCTCAGTGACGGGGACACATTGAATATGCTGATGCCCAAACATGATTCTGTGGGGGAGCTTGAGGAGCATATGGACGAATCGCCATTGCGGCATTCCGAACCACAGGCGAATAACTTGGACACATCGCCAGGCAGTTCATCTCAATTAAATATATCCACACTGCCAACGCTAACGGGTCCACACAAAGCCGAGTTGGCCGTCACAATGGAGCAACAGCAGCAACAGGAAGTGCAGCAGCCCAGCGAGCTGTGCGTGGCTAGCTATGATGAAATGGATATAGAAAACTATATAAATGGTGATGTGGTGCATGATGAAGACGATGAAAACGACAACGATGACATGGACACGACGCCAACATCAGAACAGCAATCACAGCAGCAGCAGCAGCAACAAACCGGGACTCAGCAGCATCATGTAGTTAACTATGACAATGATGAGGATTCGGTTTATATGACCGTAGAAAGTGTTACAAACGCGCTCACCAAATCGGAGCAACTTAATGATACGGGAAGCAGCTTGGAGCCGCAGCAGCTGCAGCAACAACTACAAACGGCTAGCGACTATACACAAAAGCTGGAGGTGACTACGCCCACATCGACCAGCACACGATATCAGAACACAGCCAATACACCATCAACATCTAGTCAGGCTGTCTATCCGCTCGGCGGCTGTTCTATGGCTGCGGAGGAGGATGAAATTGGGGCCTTCTTCAAGGCCGTTGCCATGAAAATACGCAATGCACAACTGGAGCCGGTGGCATTCACGGATCTGCAAATCGATATACTGCGAGTCATCAATGAAGCGCTGCGCAATCACTAGGATATCAATCCGAGTGAAGGATGCGATGAGAGAAAGATCTCGTTCTCGATGGACCTCCAAAAATGGTTTCAATGCGTTGCGCGTTATTAGTTTTTAAGTGTTATTTGAAGCATGTTTTTTTCTGAATTATTAGCTTGATTTGATTTATCCTTGTCATTTTTATAATTGCTACACACACACACACATCCACACACAAATTTACACCAACAACGAAAAGGTTTTTATTGTACATAGGAAACTGTAATGTTCTAAAGCTTTAGTGTGCTTCCAGTAAAAAGAACTGGAACTAAAATACAAAATTGTTAATAGTCCCGAGATAACGAAAAAAGAATACATAATATATAATGTGTACAATTACGAAATGGAACAACAATATAGTGAATGAAGAATATATGTATATATTTTTCGAAAAAAAGTTTGATCGTATAATTTATAGATTACAATCTTTAAATGGAACTCTAATTGCAGAGCAGTTGAATTTTCATTTAAGTATTATAGTCATAATATTTTTTTATAGAAAAATACTCTCTGAACAGCCAGAGCTACCTCTCTGCAGTTCCCTTTTGCCAGGGTATACAAAATCAATGCAGCTGACACTCAGCAGTTGATGTAGCCTCTTTGAGCATGCTTTGAACGTGGGCGCTGCCTCGTTTTGGTCTCTGTTGGCAGCATCTGTGCACAAACATTTGGACAACTGCTGAGCAACGCAGCGAACTGGAGTTGCCGCCCAAGTGGAGCACTTGCGCAGACCACCCAAAACCCCCCGTCAGTTGGCTATGTTTATGTGGTATATAAGCGACAACAGTTGCTGCTCTTATTTGGCCAAGCGCACAGCTGGCACTGGAACATGGCTGCTCCTTGGCATTGGCCAGCGGCTTGCGAAACGGGCACAAACCGGTTTAGCTGCTGCGCCCAATCAGCTGTCAGTGCGAGCGAGACGACTCTACACTACGCTGGCAGTATATAGAGCTCGCTGGGGGCGGCGCCAGCGCCATATGGCGGCGCATTGGGTGTGGTTACTCAGCCAGCAGGAGGCGCAGCTGCTGCTGCTGCTGCTGAAATGCCGAAATGTATGTAAAAGTGAAAATTTTTAATAAACATTTTCATTTTCAGGCGGAAGTTCGAAGCCATTGAAAGCTAATCAAACGGAGAGAAACGGAGCTCGATAAACGGAACCGCTCCCGCACGAAGGGGCGGCGGCAAATGTTCGCCAATTGGGGGCCACGCTTGATTGATTCGCTTTAGTTATTTGTTTTTGCAATTCATTTGCATTTCAGTTCTAAACGGTTGAGTGCGCGAGTTTTAATTAAATCAAATATGGGCGTGGGCGGGCGGGCCTACAGGTAATACAAAATTATGGGCTAATCATAAAGGGGGGAAAATTCGGATTTTGAATTGCAAATGGCATTCGTATATTTGACAATAATGTTATCAACTTCAATTGTATTGAAGACAAAGAGTTTTGATTGGAGTCGAGACTTTACATATGGCATAAAAAGCTGTAGTATCTTTGGGAAATTTTGATACGATAGAATTCTAATATTGTATATGTATCTAAGATATATATATACATATATAAGATATATTTTTCAAGTAATTTATATGCCTTTGCATTAAGGAAACTGTTGAATCTGAAATTAATCTAAATATTGTGTTGTTTTTTTTTTTTTTTTTTTTTTTTTTTTAACTAAAAGTTTAGGTTGCTGCTGAGTTGATGTAAATATTGTATTCTTTTGATCTATCATTATGTGCTTATATTTTGAATATTTTAAAATAAGGCCTATTTGTTAACAAAATTATTGTTTTGGGCATTATTGATTCTCGACAATTCGTTCGATTTAGATGGGAATTTTTGTTAAATATTAATAACAATAATAAATCTTTAAAAAAATGAATAAGAAATATGTACTTTAACGAAACAATTCAAATATATTTAAACTACTGATATATGTATTTGATTTCCAATAAAAGGGGCATGGTTTGATAGGTCTAATAATTTTCTCTGACTTTATATATGCTTTAAACATGGAGAGTAATAAGTTTCCTGCATGTATTAGCGTTTTCCTTATATCTGCCTAAAAGTTTTAGCATTTCTACATTTAATACATTTACTTAAATACTTTTAAACATCTCTTAATATTTCTTATCAATTGATTACCTGGCACACATAACTTACGTATAGCTGACCTCATATACTTTTTAAACCTATTAACTTACATATTTCTTTATTTAATCTAAATGTAACGAAAATTGAATTCTATGTCGCCTTCTAGTTGCTGTCCTATGCAGCTCAATCAGCTGAACAGCTCAAACGAAAACTCACAATTTTCTGCTGCTCTCGGTCTGCCGTGTGGCAAGCAATTTCCAAGACACAGCGACGGAAACTATTTTCGCGGCTCATTTAACGGGCTTTGCCCGGCAGGCAAATAACTAAAAAAGAATCATAAAAAATATCAAGTATATATAAATATTTTTTATTGCTTGCGGGCAAGTGTGTTACACGGTTACTGCTGCCACACTTAAACCAATTTACTAGCTACCCTAACCGCCCGTCACGGCATCTACGGCGATTGCGGGCATGCCTCACTGCATCCACGCCCACAAATTGTGTCCCATATATCCTGCAGGCAAGTTTGAAGTGATAGCAAAGATTGCTGAGACGTGAGACATTTGAGCAGCTGTTGCGGGGGCAATGGACTCTTAATGGGTGAGCTCTACCTCTGCTGTGATTATAGAGTATATTTACATACATAAATAGGTATATATATTAATACTTAAGGCTCATTTCCTGGGCTGTCTCGCACTTTTCACTTGCAAAAATTAAAAGCCTCCAGCTTTGGGTCGCGCACAAAGAGAAACGAGCAAAACTCACAACGAAAGTCGGCGACAAAATGCTGACAAACTGCAACAGCGACGGCGACGGCGACTGCGACTGAGACAGGGACTGTGTGGAAACCGTTTGGCTGTTATCATAAATAAAGAGCGCCAAATGTCAAACGTTGTCCGGGTTATAATATCATAAACTAAATGCAAGTGGCGCAGAAATCAAACATGCAACATTTCGAGCATTCAAACAATTCACGATTTATTGGCCATGTTCATAATGTTGCGACTGGCAGTTGGAGCGGCTGGAGCGGGCCTGCACTTTTTAAACTGAATTGTTTCCGGGAACTGTTGCTCCAACACCAACAACAATGGCACACAACAACAACAACAACAACAACGAAGCGCTGAAAAGCTTGTAAAACATTTGTAGCAACTGCTGCTGCTGCTGCTGCTGTTGCTGTTGCTGCTGGCAGTTGCAGCCGCAGTTCGCAGTTCGATTCAATTGCGATGCCAAGGCGGCAGCTATTGCTACTGTGGACCACGTTCACCCAGCCAAAATGTTTTATTCATAAAGCAACAGCAGCAGCCGCAGCAGCGACAAGATCATCGCCGTTTGTTGCTTTTGAGTGTCCGCTGGCTGCTCACTGCATCCAGTGGCAGCTCCTGTTCCTGTTGCTGTTACTGCTGCTGCTGCTGCTGCTGTTGCAGACCCAGCCGTTGTCGGCCTATGCTAATTTTCAAGCAAACTTATCAGACGGCGCGCATCTTGCCCAGCCTTTTGGCTGTTTGTTAGATTGCCCCACATGACCAACTCACAAAGGGGTGCTAATCGCCAAATTTACAACTTGATGCTAACGCTCCAACAACATACAAACACATCTCACACACACACACTCACACAATACTTGAGCAAAACGCAAATGGTCCAGAAAACAAAACGACCGCAAAAAACTGTGGGTTTAGTATCTGCAACTGTTTTGCTAGACAAAACTATAAAAATCAACACAGCGCATAGAGCAACAATGATAGCTACACACACACACACATACAGACAGACACAGGCACTGTTATGTACATATATCTATGACAACACAACTCCCAAGCTGCCCTCGCTTCAAAGTTGCTGCCAACGACGACTTTCACTCGCCGCCCCGCTAAGCATGCTACGAAAAGCGTTACATTTGAAAAATGTACTTTTTTCACACTACCCCAACAAGCTCCCCCACCCCACTCTAGCACACTGCGGTGACAGTGACTGGCGCACAGTGGTGCAGAGTATGTCGAAAACTTTATGGTAGATTTGTGATATAAAATATAAATTGAAGGTCTTTAAGTTTTCATTTGTTGTTTATGTAGAAGCCGAACGAATCAACAAAAAATATAATTATAATTAAAATTAAGTAATTAAATAATAAATATATAATAATAAATATATATAAATTATTCAAAAATTATTAATAACATAAAAATATGTAATAATTACTTGTGTTATATAATTTAATATATAGAGAAATTTATAAATTATATAAGTATAACGAAATATGTATATATAAATATACTTCATGGAGAATCTTTGTCCTTTTTTTGTGTACATATAGAAACTCAGTTTAGTTGGCTGATGTACAGTAATACGAAGTATGCCGAATAATTTAAAATTAAAATAATATATAATCTAAACATACAATTAAATATAAAAAACATATATATATATATATATATATATATATATATATATATATATTTTTTAATATGTACATATTTTTATATACATATATTTTTTAAATTTTATTTAGTTTAAAAACTTGATTTAAAATCTAGTCATGTTAAAAATAGTGATAATGTTCAACACTATTGCAGCACTGTGCCAGCTAGGTGTATGTGTGCATAGTATGCTGGTTTAGTGGTGTGTGCCGAAAGGGTATTTTTTGCGGCCGCATTGTGTTAGTTAGAGAAGGCGCATAACACTTTGTTATGTGCGCTTGACAAAGTTGTGGCGGTCTAAAAGTGCTTAGTGCCTTAGTTTAAAGCGATTTTTACTCTGTTTTTCTATTCTTTTTTATGTACATTTAACTCCCTCTCTCGCTCTCGTTTGGGTGCATAGGAGATAAACGCACATAGCTGGCAATCAGAATTGGGTGCTAATATGGTCAAAGCGCTGCGCTTGACTGGGCGGGGCAGCTGAAGCGGGAGTAGCAGGCGCATTCTTTGGAGTCTTTTCTTTTTTCTTCTTTTATTTTTAAAATTTAAAGATTTGCACATGCTGATAGGCACAATAAATAAATCTCGTATAAAGGAAACGGATAACGGATATTTGCGGAATTTACAGACACGTGTGAGTGTGGGGGAGGGAGGCGGTTGGATGAAACAAATGGCTTCGGCGGAAGGCATTTGGCGAACTCTGCATAGGGTGACTGCGGCGCATCGCATATGTTAGACGACCCCCAGCTGCAAGCTGATAACTGGCCAAGGACTGAGCTGCTGGCTCAAAGGAAAGTGCCAAAA